CTAGAAGTGGGCGGTGCGGAGCCTGCGCAGAGCAGCGCAGGTCGGCAAGATGGCGGTGAGCATTGCTGGGTCGCGGAGAGAGCGGGGTTCCCCCCGAGGGACTGTAGACGCGAAAACTGGGGGCACAGGAGGACCAAAGAGAGGGGGGCGGACACCCGAAGACGGATAGGGAGACAGGGACGCGGAGGAATAGGAATCACGTGGGACTGCACACCGGGCGTCTTGAGGAAGCAGACCGGGAACCTGGGGAAGCAGACCCGGAACCTGGGGAAGCAGACCCGGAACCTGGGGAAGCAGGCGGGGAACCTGGGGGTGCAGACCCGGAACCTGGGGGTGCAGACCGAGGAACCTGGGGGTGCAGACCGGGGAACCTGGGGGTGCAGACCCGGAACCTGGGGAAGCAGACCCGGAACCTGGGGAAGCAGACCCGGAACCTGGGGAAGCAGACCCGGAACCTGGGGAAGCAGACCCGGAACCTGGGGAAGCAGACCCGGAACCTGGGGAAGCAGACCCGGAACCTGGGGAAGCAGACCCGGAACCTGGGGAAGCAGACCCGGAACCTGGGGAAGCAGACCCGGAACCTGGGGAAGCAGACCCGGAACCTGGGGAAGCAGACCCGGAACCTGGGGAAGCAGACCCGGAACCTGGGGAAGCAGACCCGGAACCTGGGGGTGCAGACCGGGGAACCTGGGGGTGCAGACCGGGAACCTGGGGGTGCAGACCGAGGAACCTGGGGGTGCAGACCGGGAACCTGGGGGTGCAGACCCGGAACCTGGGGATGCAGGCAGGGGACATGAGGATATACACAGGGGGCATGGGAATAGAGAGAGATGCAGACTCAGCGACCTGGAATTTAGTTGGGGGAACATGGGAGATGGAAATGAGTTTGCAGACAGTTATGAGGGCTGCAGGATGGTCAAAAGGAGTCGCTGGGTGCCGGGTCCAGGCAACAAGGATATGGGAAGACTGGGTCTCACTCCTCAGCTCCTCCACTCTCCAGCAGGACAAAGAGAAAAAGAAGAAAGAAAGCATCTTGGACCTATCTAAGTACATTGACAAGACCATCCGAGTGAAGTTCCAGGGTGGCCGGGAAGGTGAGTGGATGCAACAGGGCCCCTAAGAATCGGGGTTGCGACAAGCAAGGGAAAGCCTCACAAGGCAGGCATTTTAACTCTTAACAAAGGCTAAGCTTGGGCCATCCTGTTACTTGAGAGGTACCAGTATGTCTCAATTGTGGATGGGGAAAATGAGTCCCAGGGAAAGAAAGCCAGGTGCGGTAGCACCCACACCATTATTGCTGGAGCCTGAAGGAAGAGGCCAGAAAGCTGGGAGGACATAGAAGAAGGAGGCAACAGGGGGATGGAAGGAAGGCATCCCTTCAAGAGCCTGGAGGTAGCAGGGACCCAGGAGGTTTCCAGTAGCAGGATCAGGGAAAGTTCCAGCCAGTCTGAGCTATGTGGCAAGACCTGTCTCCAAAAATCAACCAGGGCTAGGCTATAGCTTGGTGGATAGAGGGTTGGTTTAGTGTGCATAAAGCCCTGGATTTTATCTCCAACACCATGGAAACCAGGTGTGGTTGTACAAGCCTGCTATTCCAACCCTAGGAAGGTAAACACAGAATCGGGAAGTTCAAGATTATTTTCAGGTTGCCTAGTGAGTCTGAGGCCAGCCTGGGCAAATGATACTCTCTCATACAAATGGGAGGGGAAAAAAGGCTATTTTGTGTTACATGGAAACTATACAGAATTCAGTTTGGGGGATGATAACATTTTATTGACACTTGGTCCACCATGAACTCACTATCTATGGCCCCTTCCACACTTGTAGGAAGAGAGTTGGGGGTCATAGTCAGCAGGCCACCACATAGGGACATGTCTCCCCATGAGTTCTGTAGTGATAACTGTCCCCATGCCTGGGTCTGTAGTGGGAGGACAATAACATCATCCTTACCCATCTCTCCCTTCAAGCCAGCGGGATCCTGAAAGGGTTTGACCCACTGCTCAACCTGGTGCTGGATGGAACCATTGAGTACATGAGAGGTGAGCTGGCTGTGGTTGTCCAGGGATGCCACCAGGCCCTGTTTCTTCTCCACACCTGTGCAGTCACATTGCCGCAGGTGGTGCTGACCTAGGGTGCAGGTCCCTCCCTGATCACCAGAAAGGTGACAGGCCCACCATGATGGCCCCAGGCTTGAGATTTCAGCTCCTTCCCCTCAGCCCTCCTGGGGATGGCAGAAATAGTAGCTACTGTCCTCTGTCTGGATTGTTTGCCTGTGTCACCAGCTCCAGGACGCATAGGATCTCAGCTTATTCCAGAATAGTACCTGTAATGCCCAAAGAGTGTCCCTTCCTCTGCACCCACAACAATTACTTTCTAATTGCTCCCTGTCTCCACCTCTGGTCCATCCTCCCCGGGGCCTCTGCTTCCCCTGCAGACCACTCCTTGGGGTGAGTATCTGCCCTGGGTTCTTGTAGTATCCATGCCTACAGTCGGCTCTGAGACCCCAGGGCCTGGGTGTGTCAGTCCCCAAAAGAAAGATGGGACAGCCCTCTGAGGTCCTGGTTGTGGAGTGCTGGGTGGAAAGGACATGTCTTCAGTTCCTCTTGCCTGTCACCCCCTATTCCCACCAGACCCTGATGACCAGTACAAGCTGACAGAAGACACACGGCAGCTGGGGCTTGTGGTGTGCCGAGGCACCTCAGTGGTGCTCATCTGCCCACAGGATGGCATGGAGGCTATCCCCAACCCCTTCGTGCAGCAGCAGGATGCCTAGGTGGAGAGCGATCTGGCCCCAAGGACCTTCCTTCCTGTGTGAACTTTGTTTGGTGTTTTACTTTTGGATTTTGTTTCTGGTTTTTTATTTTGTTTTTTAATAAAATTGCCCACTTGAGCACCCAGGTGTCCTCTCCTACCCCTTCTGCTTTGTCACTTTGGTCATCTGAGAAGCCAGGGGTGGCTCAGGGCAGAACACAGCACAACTTGAGATTCGAGATTAGCAAAGGGACCAGAAAAGCCTGGGCCCCTGAGGTCCCCTCAGCTGGGCCCAGCCTCACCTCATAGCCTTTCCTCTCCTGGGCTGTGGCAAGAGGACACCACCCTCTGGATCCTGCCAGGACTTTGCCTTCCCCCACGTGCAGTCCTCAGTAGCACTGTCCCCAGTGCCTTGTACCCTGACACATGCAGACACCAAGAGAAGTGGAGGGACGGCTGCTGAGCACAGTGGCTGGCAGTGAGCCTGGGGCCCTGGGGTCCCTCAGGGTAGGACAACTACCAGGGACATGTGCCACAGGGAAAGGGCCGAGGCCAAAGCAGGGCTCTACCTCAGGGCAGGCAGCAGACTGGCCAACAGATAGCTCTACTTAGACCTATACTTATGCGAGGCATCCATTAATTAGGGAATTAGTTCCGGCCTTCAGCCTTCACCTGGAGGCTGGACCCCATGGCCACCATCCACAGAGGCAAGCAATGGCTCTTAAATTTGCAGAGATTGGCTCCCTGGAGATGTGACCCATCCAGAGCCAGCCAGGGTCCCACTTCTCAGTGGCAAAAACAAGACTTGTAGCCAACCAGCCCTGCTTATCGTTCCCAGAAGCCACGGAGGAAATTAAGTCAGCAAGCTTTGCCTCTGACATCCCTTGAAACTGCCATCTGTGCTCCAGGTGGCGGACTTGGGGAGAGAAAGTCCACTTCTTCCTCCCTGTGTAACAGGGAAAGTGCCCCACTCTTGAGGGTGTATGGACAACACCCCTGCCTGGCCACAAACCGAGCAGACATGTTGATATCCCTGGAGACTCGGGGCTCAAATTGGCATGGATTTACTCCACCCGAGTGACTTCTCCCAGTCCTGAAAGGTGACTGAGCCATCTATCATACAGGGCAATCTGTACAAAGTGTGGTGCACTGGCCTCTCTTCTCCCCAGCTTCCAGGCTGCAAGCAGGACTTGTGTCTTGACTGCCCTACAGTCAGGACACAGAAAAACAGCCTAGCTGACAGAGGAGCTCGGCAGTGTCTCACTACTGCAAAAGGGCCTGGAAACTGCAGCCATGTGGGGAAGCTGGCCTAGCACCTGTTGCCTGGAGACAGAAAAGCTCCGACCCCATATTCTTGGGGCCAGGAAGTCTGAGGCCTGGAGAAGTGGTCCACACTTATTAGCCCCACCTGCACCCCTTAGTCCCTACCCACATGTTAGCCCCGCTCACACCTCTTAGCCCCGCCCCCTTTGGGAGGCTGAAGAGAGAAAGTTGCCAGTTTGCAGACAGCCAGGGCTACAGAGCAAGATGCTCCTCAACGACACAAAACAGGGCCAGTGAGAGGGATGGACCTTGCCTTCAAGCCTGGTGACCTCAGTTTGTTCCCTAGAACCTACAGGTGAACAGAACAAGTGCAATTTGTCCTCTGACCCACACTTGTCATTGACAAATGCCATGGCACTTGTCCCCATGAATGTAAACACACATAAATAAAATGAAAAACACAGTGTACAGCCTAGGTGAGACTGCCCCGCACACTCATGTGAAATAATAAAGAAAAGGTTACTATGTTTGGGGATGTTTGTTACACAGTGTAATATTACAGAAACTTGCTGAGACAGCCTTGGGACAGTTGCAGAGTGAAGATTCAAGTATAGAATATGTATAGAAGAACCCCACTTGTGGTGTTTTTATTCTCTATCTATCTAGCCCCGGCTGTCCTGAAACATACTCTGGACCAGGCTGGCCTGGACTCAGAGATCTGTCTGCCTCTGCCTCCTGAGTGCTGGGGTCAAAAGCGTGCGCCACCACGGCCCCCTAATTTTTATTTTTGACCAGATATTGCAGGTGTGTGGCTGAGTTTTGAAGACAAGCATATCCTGTCACAAAGTCAAAAGGTTGTACATGTTGGAAAAGTCCCATGCCACCTTGGCATGGGAGAAACTGGTCTAAGGATTTGGGGAGCAGGATCCAAATCTGAGTGTTTTAATATTTTAAAAGGAAGAAATTTAATATTTGATATTTCCTCTTAATATGCAGTGAAGATTTAATATGTCTCTAGGAGGTGGAGGGGAGAAAGGCAGACATGGATGGGTAGACGACAGACAGACAGACAGCGTTAGAGAGATGAGCAGGCGGAGGGGGCGGGGACAGCAGGAGGAACCAGGCCACCAGCCTCCCTGACACAGGATCCGGGCTCCCGCCGCCCCACCGCTGCTCACTATGCCAACCGGCGGCCCCCTGACCCCGGCCCAGATCCCACCCTTCCAGCTTCCGGATCTGGGCCAGCGCAGGCCTGGGGGCTGCAGCCGGGGACTCCGGCCGTCAGCTCAGGGACCCGGCCTGCTGCACGTGCCTGTGCTCACCACCGCCCTCGGCTTACAGGTCTTCGCAGAGAGGCCGCGCATCTTGTGCCAGGAGGCCCCTCTCTGGGAGACCTTGCCCAGAGGCCCTGCAGATGAACGACAGACAGGCCACGGCTTGACCCCAGATCGACAGGACACCCCTGAGATGCCACCTCCTGGCAGCTTCGAGAAGCTTCGGAAATTGGGCCAGATACTATGGGTACCGTGGTCAGCGGCAGCTCTGCCCCTCCCACCCCACCTGCTTTGCCCAGCTCACCCAACCTCCCGCCAAACCTTTTCATTAGTCCCCTTTCTGCGTTTAGATAATGCAGCCGAGGCCCAGAGAGGGGAAGGAACTTCCACAGGGCCACACAGCTTCCGTTGAACGCGGCTGCTCACAGTATCCCTCCCTCTACATCCTCCTGCTCCTCTGTGGCATCGAGCCCTTCTCTAACTCTGTCCTCTTGGTGACACAGCGGGGCGGGGGCCCAAGCCTAAAGGAACTATAGCTGTAACTGGAAGACAGAGTGTTTGCCTACATTCCCCAAGCCCAGGGATCTTTTCGGGTCATCATAGAAACCAGGTGTGGTGGTGCGATCCTGTCACCGATGTGCTGGGAATGTGGAGGTCTGAGGATCAGAAGTTCAAGGTCGTCCTTAGCTACAAGCAGATGGGGGTGTCAAGGACGTGGGGACAGAACGGGGAAAACAGGACCAGAGAAAAGAAACATCTCCTTTCTCACACGGCAGGTTCATCCCAGACAGCCAAAGGGAGGCCTCACCCCAGCCCTGGCGCAGTTCCGGAAGAGCCCAGATGGCTCTGCTTAGAGCAGTGCTCTCAACCACCCGAACCCCAACCAACCTGCTCGTGAGGTGTGTGGCTCTCCGCTCAGTGAACTGGACAGACGAGACCTCAGCCAGCCAGGCCATGAGAGGTGGATTCCTACAGGGTGGACCCAGGGGCTGTTGGCTGCTGGGGCAGCTCGCCCCCCCCCCACATACATCAAGGGACTGAGTTTTGATGTCCCAGGAAATGCCCCCACAGCTCTTCCAGCGGGTCCCAGTTACCTCCCTGCTCCCCATGGGCTCTCTAGCTGTCGCCAGGAAGCAGGCGACCCAGGTCTCTCACACAATAAAAGTCTCTAGTGTGTGAGCATGCAGACCCTGTAGTCCTAAAGGCTTGGCCGTCTCTACCCATCGCTCAGTGCCATAAACAGCAAGGCTGACCTGGAGCAGCAGGGACACAAATCTGCCAGACACAAAGGCCCTGTGGCCACCAACAACAACCCCATGCTAGGCAGCAATGTGGGTGAGAGCCCAAGGGACAGAGAGTAAAAGGAAAGCCACAGTGGGTAGAGCATGTCTATGAACTCAACTATGGGATCGTGGAGGCAGGAGGAACACCAATTCAAAGGCCAGTCTGGGCTATTTATATAAAAAAATAAAACTGGGGCCTGGCAGCCTGAGTCCCATCCCAGGACCCACACAGTGGAAGGACAGAACTGACTCCTATAGGTTGTCCCCGTGACCTGGACATGACCAAAGTGGAAGAAACCAGATCCACAACCATTTGGGGAACTTAGAGTCAAACAAGCCCCAGACTGACCCACAGTCCCCCTTCCACCCAGTGCCTCCCTGCTGCTGTCAAAAATAGGCATGGGATTCAGCCATACCCGTGGATCACCTGACACTACTCATCCCCGAGAGATTCAGAATCTACACCTACAGAAGTCACATCGGGACTGTGGGTGTAGCTTAGGGGTGGAGCCTCTGCCTAGAGTGTCCCAGTGAGGGACTGGGGGCGAAGTCATGGTGAAGTCTCTGCCTAGACTCCCCCAAAGAGGACTGAGCGCTTTGAGCAGTGCCAAGCCTTGGGTTCATTTCTAGCCCCACAAGCCACAGAAATAAAATCCATCTGGAGGCTTCCCAGGAACTCATGCTCCCAATTCTTCCAGAAACCAGAGGCAGAAGGAATATTATCCAACTAGTTTCTGAGGCAGCAGGTTCCGCTGGATGAGGACAGAGACAGAAGCCAGAGACTGTGGCTCTCCTCACCTGGGCAGAGAGCCTCTCTAGCAACTGACCCCAGCGGGGTATGAGAAATGAGTCAGGGACACTTACTTGCCTGTCATCCTGGCTCTTCAGATCCCAGGAGTCTACATTGAGGTCTGAGGTTACCCTGTGTAACACAGCAACACAGTCTCAAAAACCCAAAAAGCCGGGCGTTGGTGGCACACGCCTTTAATCCCAGCACTTGGGAGGCAGAGGCAGGCGGGGCTCTATGAGTTCCAGAACAGCCTGGTCTACAAGAGCTAGTTCCAGGACAGGCTCCAAAGCCACAGAGAAACCCTGTCTCGGAAACCCCCTCCCCAAGAAAACCCTTTATTCACAGATAGCCAGGCCTAGATGCCCACTCTGGAGTCCCAGCATTGAAGAGCACTAAGGCAGAAGGATAACAGCTGCAGGCTGGTTTGGGCTACACAGTTAGATCCTGTTCAAACATGGGCTGTAGTAAGTCTGTCTCAGCAGGTGAGATGGTGCAGGTGAAGGCACTTGCTACCCAGCCTGATGACCTGAGTTCTA